GAAAGAATACCAGGACGGCCTGGGCCTGTGGCAGAGCCCGTGCAAGCCGTGGACCTGCTGGGTACCAAGGACAGTGTACGAAGTAGATTTAGTAATGCAGCTGCTAGTGCTCGCCCCACCTCAAACCCTCGGGGCTGGGAGGGAAATGCGCTGAGACACGGCCGCCTCTTCGACCTGACCCCCAGGAAACAGGAGCCGACGCGAAGAGCACAGCCAGCTGCCCTCCTTGACGGGTGTCCAGGAGTGCCGGCTGGCTGCCAAGGCTCGGAAGAGCTTTGGCTTAGAGGCGGCGCGTGTCTTGGCGGGCCTCTGAGCTTCCCAGGCATCGATGGCGAGTGTGACGATGAGAGCCCCGCGGGCTCGGAGGCGCAACTGTGCTGCGATGGCTCCCCAGACGTCGGCCCGAGTGACCGACCCGACCCCTCCCCGCCCCCAGGCCTCGGGGGTCGAAGCCACCGTCGGAGCGTCAGCACAGGCGTTCCCCGCGGCCCTACACAGAAGGCCCGGTGAGACCCGCATGGTGGCGCCCCCAGCCACGCGGGGCAGGATCCAACCCACCTGGGTCCCATCGGGCCCGTTGGGCCCTCCTGAAGGTGAGAGCCTTCTAGATTGGGCCCCAGAGGTCCCCATTGAGCCCGAGGGTAGAGCATGCCTGCGAACGCTCCACCCGAAGAACAAGCCTCCGTCGTCCGTGAAGAAAACAGTTTTCCCGCGGCCGGCCTGGAGAGCGAGCGCGAAGGCGAGGGGCTCAGCGCTCGGCGCATTCTGGCGCGCCGCAGCGCCCGTGAGGGCCCAGGAGGCGGCAGCAAGGTCGGCGGCGCGGGTCATCGCCGTGCTCTCTTCCGCTCCTGTCGCCGAACAGGTGGAGGACGCCGTCCTCGCCCCTCGCGTGCTCGAACTCGCTGCCTGCCAATCCGCGAACTCCCCGCAGGAGGCCGGCGCGGCGGCCGCTTGGGCGGGCAGGCCGCGGAGCCACGGGGCTGGGCGGAGCGCATGCTGCGCCCTCGCCTGCACCTGCAGGCGCGCCGCACTGTCGCGCCCGGGGCCTTTGCCTCCCCGGGGTGGGAGGGCAGCTGCGATGTCGAACAGCAGCAACGCAGGCATGTGAGCGTCAGCGTCTGCACGCGCCTCGGCGTCGATCTGCAAGATGGTGTTGCAGACAGCGCGGCCCATGATCATGTCTGGTTGGATACGACGTGCGCGAGTCGCAGCCTGGGGCGCATGGGCCGGCTGAGGGCGGATGCGAGAACCCTGGGATCGGTTGTCTTGCGGGCGAGGGGCCGCAGTGCGCCGGCAGTGCGAACGCAGCGGACCAAACCAGCATCCTCGGAACCCATCAAGGCTACAGAGGAAAACGCGACTCGCGCAAGCCTCGCGGCGCCGCGGGGCCAGCGAACAACTCCCTGCAAGTATCTTCAACAATGTCGAAGACACTGTCCGCGCGCGACCACGCCCGGCGGGGCTGCGAGTCGGGGCCAGGCGTCGAGCTGCGCGCTCGGGCTGCGGGCCGGCGTAGGTCGCAGGCAGATGGGATGGGCAGGACATCTGGCGAGATCCCTGGCGGGAGGTGGGCGCCAGGACGAGGAAGCGCTCGAGCAGACCCTGGTCGACCTCCCCGTTGGCGAAGAATTGAGGCCCAGGGGTCTTTGAGCGCGGCAAGCACGCCCTCTGGGCCCTCCGCCGCGGCGACTCACTCCGCGAACTGGATCCCCTTCCAGGTGAGGGAGTGGGCGAGGGGTGCCCGGAGCCAGCTCCGTCGTCGGATAACCTGCTGCTGCCCTTGTTGGAAGAGCCCAATTCCCATGTGCGACAGGCTCGGCGCGATTTCGGAGCCAGGTGGGCTGCCTTCTGCCGCTGGGCGCGGAGGGCGATGCGATGGGCGTAGCTGGAGTACTTGCGGAATCCCGTTGGCGCTCGCCCGAAGGAAGGTCGGGCCCGATTCCGCGCGCGTGGTGGGGGGGGTCTGCAGGGGGGGGGGGCCTTGCCCCCAGACTTAGGTCGGGCATGCCCCCCTACAGGCGGGTTTTGGACGAGAACCAAGAAATACCCCAAAAGGCTCCCCAAATAGTCAGACAATCGTCCCCAGACTATAAAAAAACACTATTTTTGAATATTCCCCCTGCAGAGGGACAGGCCCGACTTAACCCCAGACCGGCCTCGCGATGGAGCGACACGTCGAGAGCGCAGCCCGCGTGGCGGCGGCCCCCGCCCCCCGCGACCGCCAGGAGGAGGCGCCCGCGCCTCGAGGGGGGCCTTCGCTCCCCCGCTCTTAGGCCGCGCTCGCCGCGCCGCCCGCGGCCCCCGCGGGGCCCGTCCTGCCCGCTCGATGAAGATCCGCCCTCCTGCCCTTCCTTCGTCCCACAGGGTCATCCTGGCCCTCCCTCGTCCTCCACCCTCCTCCTCCTCCTCCTCCTTGTCCCTACTCCTCCTCCTCCTCCTCCTCCTCCTCCTCCTCCTCCATCGGGGGCTCTGCGTCGCCGATGGCCAGGCCGCCGGAGCCGGCGAGAGCGCAGAGCTCGCGAGCGCGGCTCCGCGACGAAGCCAATGGAGGACTGCGGCAGCGAGACCTCGCAGACGTTCGCGGGCGACCGACAGTCCCGCTCGGGAAATGCAACCTGCTTGAGGACAGCTTTCGCGCCAGGGTCCGCTACATCCGGCGGCGTCCAGCGGCTGCAGTCGGACTCGATTGGACAAGACGCGCGAGAGGACACGAGACCCTTCCAAGGACCAAGTTGCCGCAGGAATCTGGAGGGGCAAGGAACGCGAGACACAGGACATGGTGGTTCCTGAACATGTCGTTTGCGGTGTCGGCTACAGCAGCTGCTCCAATTCGAATTTCGCCATACACCAGGCGGACCGTCGACATTACTAAGCCCATCCTGTTGAAGAGCACTCTGTTCTGCACCTTCGGCAGTCCCCTGTGGATCATGATGCCGCCAACGATGCTGCATCCAGCTGTAGCTCATTAAGCTTACCTGCACGAGGGTGTAGGCCAACATCTAGGTCTGCATCGTGCCGTACGTTGCCAGGGTGTGTATTCAGATCAACTGCGGGACCAGCGCCTGGCCGCACACGTGGAAGAACGCCATGCGTGGCGGGATCCGAAGCAGCACGAGGAGATAGATGATCAGACGGTGGCTCCAGAACTTAACACCACTTGTCACGAGTCGCGGTCGAGAAGGAACCGACGACCCAGAACGAGGCCAGGCGTTCGCAGAAGTCGTGCGCTGACGGGTGGACCGAACTCTTCGACGTCCGCTGAGGCGCCGGAAAGACGAGGGGGCAGCCACCGGGGCCGCCGCGGTCGCCTTCATCCTGTGTTGCTCCACCGACGTGTCATTGATCGAGAAGGCCTCGAAGTGGACTGTAGGAGCCCGCGCAGCAGTGGGGGATTGTCATCACCTCCAGGGGGGTCCGCATGAGCACCGTGCAGATTCGGCCAGAAACCGCGATGAGCCCTACCCGGATACTGAAAATCAGGTCGGGCGCCACCAGGCGGAACATCATCGTGTGTTTGCAGATCGCCAGAGCACGCCCCAGTAGAAGTGGCGCTTGCATTAGGTAGAGCTTCGGGTTCGACTTCTCCAGGCACGACGCCAAGAGTTTGAGCTCCATGTGTTAGCCCGCCTGCTCGGTCGCAGATCTCATTCGCATCATCGCGAGAGGCGGCGTGCCAAGACGAAACCACTGTGGAAGGCAGACCCCGACCAACGCTACTGACAGATTCGTTTGCTCCAGCACCGTTACCCATGCGAGCTTGATTGCTTGACTGGGCCCGCCGGCAGCACCACCAGGCAATGGATGATCACATCCTGGTCTTAAGTCGGGCGTGTCTCCCTACAGGGGGATTTTGGGCGAAAAAGGGAAACACCTCAAAAAATACTCCCAAATGATCAAACATAAAAAAACAAATCGTCCCCAGACTATTTTTTGACTAATCCCCCTGTAGAGGGACAGGCCCGACTTCATCCTGGTCGTGGGAGAAGCGATCGCCGAGGAGGGCTGCCGTAGCCACCCCGCGTTTCGAACAGCGAGAGCTCGACTTCGGATTCGGTGCCCCTTACAATCATGTCGCACATGTCTGCATCAGTCTGGTTGGGGTCGAGCTTGTCCACGCCGCACGGGGCACCCTGCGCATCGGAGAAAGAACCCGAGAACTTTGTATTCCGCCACCTTCGACATGTCCGAGCCGACGCCGCGTTGAGCAGGGACCGACCGTCCCGGCATTCCTATAGTCCTACCACGAAGTGTTCTTAGAACCCCAATATGTTCTGATATCAAAAACACTGTTCTTAAAACATTAACCCGATGTGATAGAACAAGACAGCCTCAACCAGAAATGTTCTAAGAACATTTCGTGGAAGCCACAAAAGGTTCTTAGGACATTGCTTGGTGGGGCAATAGGCGAGCGAGGACGCTTCGCCACTGCTTGACAACGGCGTGACGCACCAGGTTGCAAGCTGCGCCGTGGTGCAAGCTGCGCTGTGGAGCACAGGGCCGCGGCGTCCGCCGAGGTGCCACTGCGCGGAGGGAGGCGGAGGAGGAGGAGGAGGAGGAGGAGGAGGAGGAGGAGGAGGAGAAGGAGGAAGAGGAGGAGAAGGGGGAGGAGGAGCAGGAGGAGGAGGAGGAGGAGGAGGAGGATCAGGGAGGAGGAGGAGGTCATGGCACGCCAGTTTGCGAGAAGATGGAGCGGGTGACCCTGCTGGGAGAAGCACGTCCAGGCAGGGCGCCGCACGAGGGGGCGGGACAGCACCACAGGAGCCCAGCAGCGGAACACGATGTATGGCACGCACGTAGCGAGTACCGCGGTTTCGTATCGTGTCGACCCTGGCGTTGGTTTCTGACACCGCGTGGATCGTTTAACCTTGCGTGGATCGTTCAACCTTGAACGATCGGCAATTTTTCGATCGCCCGGTCGTTCAATGTTGGCCGATTCTGTGCCACTGGCGGCGTTCAACCTTGAACGCCCGCGGCGGGGTCGCAGCCGGTCGACACGACGCGAACCTACCGCATTCTGTTGCAGGAGGCGACGCCGAACCTCTGGCAACAGGCACTCCCCGGAAGAGACGGTGCGAACGAGGCCCACTATATTGTTGGAGCTCGGCGTGTGCTCGGAGCCCTTTGATCATGCACCGAGCACTCTGAAGAAGTGGACTATGGACCTCCACGTACTGGCAACCAGGAACACGAGGTCGAAGGTACTGCCCACGAGCTGCGCGATCGCGACAAACCGCACGCGTATGCTGGCTGCGTGCGTGAACAATTTTACTGCGCAGACCCGACCTCACCAGGAAGGACAGTTGCCGCCATCGACATGCAAGAGAGCTGAGGGCGCGTGCGCGGGGCCCCACTCCTGCTGTGGACTCTTAAGCCAACATGGCTACGGGACCACCAGGAGGACAAGGAGGAGGAGGATGAGGAGGAGGAAACGGAGGAGGTGGAAGACGAGGAGGAGGAGGAGGAGGAGGAGGAGGAGGGAGGAGGAGGTGGAGGCGGCAGAGGTGTAAGGAGGATGAGGAGGAGCTGGATGATGATGATGATGCTGATGATGCTGATGATGATGATGATGATGATGGTGGTGATGATGATGATGGTAATGATGATGATGATGATGATGATGATGATGATGATGATGATGATGATGATGATGGTGATGATGATGATGATGATAATGATGATGATGATGATGGTGATGATGATGATGATGACGATGACGATGATGATGCTGATGATGATGACGATGATGATGATGATGACGATGATGATGACGAGGACGAGGAGGAGGAGGGGAAGGAGGATGAGGAGGAGGGGCCTCTGGCGTTGGCGTCGGGCCAGCAGTCGTGCTCACAGAGCTCAAGGGCCTCTGGTGCAGCTTGCCAATGGCGTCCTCAGCGTGGGGGGTCGACATTGACGGACCCCTCTCCCGCTCGCGCTATCCCCCCCTCTCTCCTTCTCTCTCTCTCTCTCTCCCTCGCTCTCCCTCTATCTCTCTGTCTCTCCCTCTTCCTCTCTCTCTCTATGTCCCTCTCTCTCTCTTTCTCTCTTGCTTTATGTCTCCCTCTCTCTCGATATAGCTGTATATCTATACATATGTATGTATGGTTCTCTCTCTGTGTCTCCCTCTTTCTCTCTCTCTCTGTTTTCCTCCCCCCACCTCTCTCTACATATAGTCTCTATGTGGAGACGCACGGGATGAAGTATTATCGTGATGCCATGTGTGCGTGCACTCGTAAGAGGAAGAGAAGTGGTGTCTCTCTGTCTCTGCCTCCCTCTCTCTCAATGTCTCTCCCTCTGACTGTCTGTCAGTCAGTCCTTCTGTCTGCCTCTCTCTCACAAATTGAGAAGAGGAGGATGAGGGGACGAAGGATAGAGAAGCAACGGGTGAGACGGGGAAGACAAGCTCGTTGCTCCGTGTTTGAAAGGTGTTGTAATGAGCGCTGGTCGCGCAGGTTTGGAGGAGGGAGGAGCAGGGAGGCGAGATGGAGGAGGCTGAGGAGCAACATGAGGCTTCACTCTCATTTTCCCTCTGCCTCGCTCGCTCGCTCTCCTCTCTTTCTCTCTTTCTCTCTCCTCTCTCTCTCTCTCTCTTTGTGTTCATTCTTTCTCTCGGTGCGAACATACATATATACACTAGAACCACGCGCACTTCGTATACGTGCCTGAGCAGGTCCAAGCATCCTTTCAAAACGATCCCTGGTCGCAAGGTGTACGGCTGTTGCAGATGTTGTCGGCGATCGCCCCTACTCATTCCCTCTCCTCTATATCCGCCTCCTCCCACCTCCCTCTTCTCTTCTCCTTCTTCCCTGCCTTCTCCCGCGTCCCTCGTTCCATGTCCTTCTCCATCTCCTCCTTCTCCTTCTCCTTCTCCTCCTCCTCCTCCTCCTCCTCCTCCTCCTCCGTCTCCTCCTCCTCCTCCTCCGTATCCTCCTCCTCCGTAGCCATTTTGGCTCAAGCACATGTGGCTCGAAACTTCTCCGTACTCATCTTGGCTCCGGACAGTTTCGACGTCAACGCCTCCACGTGGCGCTTGAGGGACGCCCAGGCTGCCGCACCGCGAATGCAGCTCTTCTTGGCGACGAAGTGGGACGCATCGCGAGGGCGGCGGCGGTCTCCCTGAAGCTCTCTGACCTCCGGCAGGTTCTGAAGCCCTTCAACCAATTCGTCTTCGTGCACTTGGCCGCGCTGCCGATCTGGGGTCACGAGCTCGACCTGGGCATGGCCCGCTTCCACTTCCTGGTTGGACTGATTCTCCTGTCACGAGGATGCCTTTCGTGCAGGTGTCAGTACCCTGTGCGCGGCCCGTCGGCGCGTCTTCTGCTGCAGCGTCGCAATGGGCCTGCGCACCAAAGGCTGGGCAGTGGCTGCTGGGTAAAGGTTGGTCGCACGGCGCTGCAGCGCGTTCTCAGGTTCAGGGCCGCAGTGGGCCAGTGCACCATGCGCTGCTCGGTTCGGGAGGCGAATCTCAAACCTTTCGCCTTCTACTCCAATGCTTAGCTCAGCAGGTGCGGGAACGGCGAGCAGTGGCAGCTATTTCTGTCGGTGCGTGGCTCGGGGTGGGAGGAGAAGCTGGCCCCGACCTTTATCAGCTACGTCGCTGAAATCAGGGCGTGCGAGAAGGCAGGCAGAGGCGGGCAGTGGCAATTATCAGTATCGGTGCGAGGCTCAGTGACAGCGGTCCGTCGGTGCATCCTCTCCTGCAGTGTCGCAATGGACCAGCTGTGTTTCGAGCTTGGGTCAAGGCTGTTACTCTTTCTTCGCAAGTTGTGTGCTTGGCATGTGGCTCCTTTTTCCCGATCATCGTGCAGAGTGTCCTGGTGGTCAATGGGCTTTGTTCACAATATGGACAAGTATGGAGGAACGAAGTTGCTCAATTGTTTCGGCTGTGGCGAGGGCGCTTGTGGGAGAGACGACCTCTTTCGAGGATGCCCGATAATATGAAGTGTCGTGGTATGGGCCGTATCGAGCTGAACTAATGAGGTTTTCATCCGTGGTATGTGCGGCCTGGGGCTAATATGCGTGTTGCGCAAACAGAGCACGTATTGATCGGGTTTCTCGTCGCTTTCCTCGAACTCCTGCGACTGCTTGTCCGTGTACTTCACGGTCCTGCTCGTCGTGTATTTCGGGTACTCGACAAGCTCAGGGGGTGGCATTTGTCATCAGCGCTGACATGTCCAGTACGTCGTCGAGTCCTTCCTTTCCGCGGCGGGCTCGGAGGCGATCAGCGCAATGTGAGTTCGCTTCGCGATCGGTCCTATCCTATCCTATCCTATCCTATCCTATCCTGTCCTATCCTATCCTATCCTACCCTATCCTATCCTATCCTATCCTGTCCTATCCTATCCTGCCCTCCTCCAGCTGCGCTGAGGCCGCGTCAAGTGGCTCCATGGTGCCGTGGCTCTCCTCGAACACCTCGCGGAACTCGCGGCAGGCGACGAGGTCCGTGCCGAGGGAGCGCGGGCTGCGCCCCTCCTGGGGGGGGGCCCTCGCTCTGCCCGTGGCCCTCCTCCTCCTCCTCCTCCTCCTCCTCCTCCTCCTCCTCCATCCTGCTCCTGCTCCTCCTCTTCCTCCTCTTCCTCCTCCTCCTCCTCCTTCTCCTCCTCCTCCTCCTCCTCCTCAGAATATTGATTTAGCCCAAATTGACTACCTACCAGACCACCCCAACCCAACCCGAGGACCCGACTTTCGGGTTGGGGGGGGGGGGGGTACGGGCTTCAGATGTGTGTTTCTCAACTTTCCCCGACCTCCCCCCACTGGAAATGGAGGGCAAATTTGGGCCTTCGGGTTGGGTTGGGGTGGTTTGGTAGGTGGTGACAAATGGATTTTTCCGTCGAACCCACGGAAGCTATAAAGACTGCTCCGTGCATCTACGAGAGCAATCTACGTGTTCTGGTCGACGCGGCGAGAAAAAAAAACAATTTCTGGGGTAAATCAATTACGTAGTCGATCCCCTGCTGGAAGATTGAGAACAGGTTGGCCAATTCACTAAATCGTGATGGTGCTGCGGTTCTTCCTCCTCATCCCTCCCCCACTCCTCCCCGTCGTCCTCCCGCTCCTCCTGCTCTTCGTTTTTGTTGCTCCCTGATGTTCTCCCCCTCGCCAATTCCTCCGCCTTCGGCCCCTATAGCTGCGACGTGGTGACTTGGCAATCAGCCTGGTCCACGGAACTCTCGACCCGTTCCCCGGGCGGGCCCTTCGTCCGAAGCATTTGCTTGATATCGGGGATCTACTGACCCGGGTCAGTCCAAACCCGTGTCAGCCGTGCCTTGCAGGATCCTGCAGGATGCTCATGGATCCTGCGCTGAAGCCCAGGGCAATGCGACCCTGGCCTTGCAGGACTCTGCAAGATCCGGCGCTCTGACTGACACCCGTTTCCATTCACCCCCAGCAGCAGGAGGAGGGGGGGAGGAGGAGGAGGAGGAGGAGGAGGAGGAGGAGGAGGAGGAGGAGGAGGAGGAGGAGGAGGAGGAGGAGGAGGAGAGGAGGGGAGAGAGGGGGAGAGACTACGACGAGAGAGGAGGGGAGATGAGGGGGGAGGAGGAGGAAGAGGAGGACGACGAGGATGAGGATGAGGATGAGGAAAGAGGAGGAGCAGGAGCAGCAGGAGGAGGAGCAGACGGAGGAGGCCCCCGATGGTAGCCCCACAGGCTCGCATCGGGCCAGGCCCAGACCGGTATGAAGCACAACCGCCTCGACATTTTCCCGGGCCGGCGGAGCTCTGGGCCCTGGCGCCCCCCGACCTCTACCAAGGATGCGCCAGCCAGGATCAGCACTGACCTTGGGCGCCTCACTTGAGCAGGGGCCGACCGTCCCAGCATTCCTCGAGGCCTACCACGGAATGCCCCAAGAACCCAAGAATGCTCGGAACAACAATTAGCCTGACGAAAGACCCAACCATATATTCAGCTGCGACTGCCGCATTGTGGGTACCGCTTTCGGTGGAGCTCCGTGTGGGGCCACGAGCCGTGTGAGGGGCGTGCAGAATTGGGCGCGGTGGTGCCATGCGAACCCTCCCACTGGAGTCTTCGGTGGAGCATCCTCTGGCGCCACGAGACGTGCGAGCGGGTGTACCGAATTTGGTGCGGTGGTGCCATGCGAACCCTCCCACTGGAGCCTTCGGCGGAACTCCCTATGGGGCCACGAAGCGTGTGAGGGGTGTGCCGGATTGGGCGCGGTGATGTCATGCGAACCCTCCCACTGGAGCCTTCGGTGGAACTCCCTATGGGGCCACGAACAATGTGGGGTGTGTGCCGAATTGGGTGCAGTGGTGCCATGCGAACTCTCCCACTGGAGCCTTCGGTGGAGCTCCCTACGGGGCCACGATCCGTGTGGGGGTTGTGCCGAAGTGGGCATGCGGTGGGCGGGGCGGACGATGCGGACGCGGCCACTGGGGCCTTCCGTGGAGCTCCCTATGGGGCCACGAACCGTGTGAGGGGTGTGCCAGAATGGGCATGCGGTGGGCGGGGAGGACGCATGCGGACGCGGCCACTGGGGCCTTCGGTGGAGCTCCCCATGGGGCCACGAAGCGTGTGAGGGGTGTGCCAGAATGGGCACGCGGTGGGCGGGGAGGGTGCATGCTGAGGCTGCCACTGGGGCCTGCGGTGGAGCTCCCTATAGGGCCACAAAACGTGTGAGGGGTGTGCCGAAATGGGCATGCGGTGGGCGGGGCGGACGCATGCGGACGCGGCCACTGGGGCCTTCGGTGGAGCTCCCCATGGGGCCACGAGGCGTGTGATGGGTGTGCCAGAATGCCAGAATGGGCATGTGGTGGGCGGGGAAGGCGCATGCGGACACGGCCACTGGAGCCTTCGGTGGAGCTCCCTATGAGGCAGGCCACGAAGCGTGTCAGGGGTGTGCCAGAATGGGCATGCGGGGGGCGGGGAGGGCGCATGCGGACGCGGCCACTGGAGCATTCGGTGGAGCTCCCTATAGGGCCACGAAGCGTGTGAGGGGTGTGCCGAAATGGGCATTTGGCGGGCGGGGAGGACGCATGCGGACGCGGCCACTGGGGCCTTCGGTGGAGCTCCCCATGGGGCCACGAACCGTGTGAGGGGTGTGCCAGAATGGGCACGCGGTGGGCGGGGAGGGCGCATGCGGACGCGGCCACTGGGGCCTTCGGTGGAGCTCCCCACGGGGCCACAAACCGTGTGAGGGGTGTGCCAGAATGGGCATGCGGTGGGCGGAGAGGACGCGTGCGGACGCGGCCACTGGGGCCTTCGGTGGAACTCCCTATGGGGCCACGAACCATGTGAGGGGTGTGCCGAAATGGACATGCGGAGGGCAGAGGCAAGGAGGGGATGGAGGAGGGGGAGGAGGAAGGAAGGAAGGAAAGAGGGAATGACGGAAGGATACACGCGGGACGCTCTCTCTTCAAAACGAGGACCCAACACCACAGGATGGGTGGGGCAAACAATGTTCTTTGAACATGAACCTGATGAGCTAAACAGAGCATTATCAGTCAGATATATCATAACATTATTTGGTGGGCCTATGGGCAATCCAAGACGCTTCGCCACTGCTCGACATAACCCCGTACCTGGGCTGGTGGCTCCCCAGCCCGAGCCAGCGGAGGCTAGGGGCGGGGGTGGGGCTCCACCTGGCTCCCACTCCCAAGTCAGCCAGAGAAGATGGCAGTCAGGACGCTGACAAATAGGAGCAGCTCTGGTGTCGGATGAGGGGGTCGCGGTTCCCCAGGTCCTTCCATGGTTGTTCCTCTGGCGCTCCTCATGCGCCCAGGCGCTTTTGGGCAACAAGAGGGCTTCGCTCCTGATTTAGCGTGCCTTGTGGCAGTAGCTTGACTGCATTGGCAGGCCCCCCTTCTCTTTTGATATCTTACATGAAGCAAGCTCGTCCTGAGGGAAACGAGTCCTGTACCCTGGAGTCTTTCCCCAGGACCAGCTCTTCATCCTGAGTCGTGTTCTGACAGCAGCCCCAGGGCCCTTGGAGGGCCCCCCCAGGAGGGCAAACACAGCGAAAAAATGCAGGACACGCTGCCAGTCATCCGACGCCGTGGCTCCCCAGAGGTCTACACCCCTTCCCACGGACCGACGTTTCATCCAGAGTCGTGCTTTGACGGCCCCGCCAGGAGCCGAAAACAACTGAAACCTCCCGTCGTGACTCTGCCACGACGACAAAAGGCCAGGACTTGCTCCTCGTCTGCAGACCCCCTCGCCGCCTGGGCCGTTGGCGGTTCAGCCATCTCCATGTTATGTTTGATTCGTTCTGAGGGTCCACGCAGGATGGAGACGTCTTGGTGTGAACCTTGCATTTGGAGTGGCTGTAAGTTCTGTCGGGGAGCACTGTCCTTGCAGGGCCAAATCACATTTCAATTGGCTGGCACGATGCTGCGCGCCCCGACCCGCGGTCCTCGCACGCGAACGGGTCGGTGACGGCGCAGCCCGGCACCACGCGGCGCGGCTGCGGGCAGCGGGGCGCCGCCAGGGGGCTCTCGAGGGTCTCCAGGCCCTTCGCCGCGCCCGACGCCGCGGGGGACGCATCCCGGCCTCGGAGCGCCGTAAATCGGGGATGGGCAGAACCAACTATAGCAAAACGTGGTTTTGTGAAAACGACCTCGGGCCCAAACCTGGCGGGCGCAAGCGTGGAAAATGACGGCCGCGGCGCCCTCTCGAGAACCGAAACAGACAATTCACTAATCGACGTGTCAGGGTGGGGGCTCTGTCCACCCCCGAGTAAAAGGGCCACGTGCACCTCGTATAGGAGGACAAGAGCAGGAACACCGGCCGCTACTCTTCACTCGGATGTGCTATGTTTGAGGCCTCTTGCCTCGCCACCGCGGCGGAATTCCCGTCGACGTCCTGTTCAGAATCCTGGGGCCTCTCTGTTCCCCGAAAGGGAATAGGACGAGGAGGAGGAGGAGGAGGAGGAGGAGGAGGAGGAGGAGGAGGAGGAGGAGGGGGGCGGAGGAGGAAGAGGAGGATGAGGATGATGAGGAGGAGGAGGATGATGATCATATACGGTAAAACAAGACCATATAGTGTAATCTACGATACGACAACATCAGACCATGTACAAAAATATTATCCCGGCAAAGCAACCTAACAGCGAGGTGTAGGAGCATATCTGGAAGCATTCCCCTTAATATTCAGATGCGAATCCAGTTGTATAAGTCTGCTGTTCTCGCAGTCGTAGTCGCATTCGCGATGACAGTCGCAGTGGCAACGGCAGTCGCAGTCACAGCCTCAGCCTCAGCCTGCCTCAGCCTCAGCCTCAGCCTGCCTCAGCCTCAGCCTGCCCCAGACTCAGCCTGCCTCAGCCTGCAGCCTCATCAGTCTACCTTCAGCCTCGGCCTCAGCCTCAGCCTGCCTCAGCCTCACCCTGCATCAGCCTCAGCCTCAGCCTCAGCCTGCCTCAGCATCAGCCTGCCTCAGCCTCAGCCTCAGCCTCAGCCTGCCTCAGCCTCAGCCTGCTTCAGCCTCAGCCTCAGTCTGCCGTCGGCATCGGCCTCAGCCTCAGCCTGCCTCAGCCTCAGCCTGCATCAGCCTCAGCCTCAGCCTCAGCCTGCCTCAGCATCAGCCTGCCTCAGCCTCAGCCTCAGCCTCAGCCTGCAGCCTCAGCCTCAGTCCTGCAGGCCTCAGCCTCAGCCTCAGCCTCAGCAGCCTCAGCAGCCTCAGCCTCAGCCTGCAGCCTCAGCCTCAGCAGGCCTCAGCCTCAGCCTGCCTCAGCCTCAGCCTGCATCAGCCTCAGCCTCAGCCTCAGCCTGCCTCAGCATCAGCCTGCCTCAGCCTCAGCCTGCAGCCTGCTTCAGCCTCAGCCTCAGTCTGCCTTCAGCCTCGGCCTCAGCCTCAGCCTGCCTCAGCCTCAGCCTGCATCAGCCTCAGCCTCAGCCTCAGCCTGCCTCAGCATCAGCCTGCCTCAGCCTCAGCCTCAGCCTGCCTCAGCCTGCAGCCTCAGCCTCAGCCTGCTTCAGCCTCAGCCTCAGTCTGCCTTCAGCCTCGGCCTCAGCCTCAGCCTGCCTCAGCCTCAGCCTGCATCAGCCAGCCTCAGCCTCAGCCTCAGCCTCAGCCTCAGCCTGCCTCAGCCTCAGCCTCAGCCTGCTTCAGCCTCAGCCTCAGTCTGCCTTCAGCCTCGGCCTCAGCCTCAGCCTGCCTCAGCCTCAGCCTGCATCAGCCTCAGCCTCAGCCTCAGCCTGCCTCAGCATCAGCCTGCCTCAGCCTCAGCCTCAGCCTGCCTCAGCCTCAGCCTCAGCCTGCTTCAGCCAGCCTCAGCCTCAGCCTCAGCAGCCTTCAGCCTCGGCCTCAGCCTCAGCCTGCCTCAGCCTCAGCCTGCATCAGCCTCAGCCTCAGCCTCAGCCTGCCTCAGCATCAGCCTGCCTCAGCCTCAGCCTCAGCCTGCCTCAGCCTCAGCCTCAGCCTCAGCCTGCTTCAGCCTCAGCCTCAGTCTGCCTTCAGCCTCGGCCTCAGCCTCAGCCTGCCTCAGCCTCAGCCTCAGCCTCAGCCTGCCTCAGCATCAGCCTGCCTCAGCCTCAGCCTCAGCCTGCCTCAGCCTCAGCCTCAGCCTGCTTCAGCCTCAGCCTCAGTCTGCCTTCAGCCTCGGCCTCAGCCTCAGCCTGCCTCAGCCTGCCTCAGCCTCAGCATCAGCCTGCCTCAGCATTCAAAATGTGGCCCGAGAATGGGGTTCTGGGAACTCGAAGAACACGAAGTGGCCTACAGTTGGCTCCATGGGCTGGGAACTTGGCAAATTCATCATGCCCAGGAATGGAGTTCTGGGAACTCGAAGAACACGAAGTGGCCTACAGTTGGCTCCGGGCATTCAAAATCATGCCCAGGAATGGAGTTCTGGGAACACGAAGAACACGAAGTGGGCTACAGTTGGCTCCGGGCATTCAAAATCATGCCCAGGATTGGAGTTCTGGGAACTCGAAGACCACGAAAAGTGTAACTATTTGCTTACAACGACTTCCGCGGGTTCTCCCCGGCACCCGCCCAGACCCCCCTGGGGAGTCAAGATGCTCTCTTTCGACACTACTAGAAACCTATCAGTCTTCGCTGGTAGGTAGTAAGGAATGATAAGATACGGTGAGATGATAGACTGTATGATTATTGCAATCTATTAGATGGTGATCTACGTTAACACAGGGTAATGTGCGATCGCATAATACAACACACTCAATGTTAATATCAACTAAGGCATACTAATGCAATACGACCTAGTAGAAGGTAAGGAAGCTAAATTCAGATCAGATGAGACACGCGTACGACCTTTCTCGTTGCTTCCTGCCAAGCTTACTGCTATACAAGAGAAGATTCGGCCTAGCGAGATTATCGATATGCGTGAAGCTTGCACTGGGCGGCCTCCTATCGACCACCCTGCCGAACGAACAACTTAGTTCGCCCCCACTGGACGAGTGGCGGGGGGTGGCCGCGGGGTGTCCCGCCGTGGTTTCCTGATGGTATCCCGTGCTGTCCTGTGGTGTCCTCTCGTATCCCGCGGTGTCCCGATGGTGTTCCGATGGTGACTTGGTGGTGTCTTGGTGGTGTCCCGATTGTGTTTTGATGATGTCCCATTCGTGTCCCGATGGTGTCCCTATGGTGTCCCGATGGTGTCCCTCCCGATGGTGTCTGGTGGTGTCCTGTGGTGTCCCGACGGTGTCCCGATGGTGTCCCGGTCGTGTCCCGATGGTGTCCCGAAAACGTCCCGCGGTGTCCCGTGGTGTTCCGATGGTGTCCCGGTGGTGTCCCGATGATGTCCCCGATAGGTTCTGCACCGCCGTCACAGTCGCCATCGTGCGTTGCCACCCGCGTCGTCGGTACGCATCGTCGACAAGTCGTGAGCGCACCACCAGCATCGTCATCATGACAATCATCGCAGCTGTCATCAGTTGGTTCCTTCCCCCACAGCCTCCTTATCTCCCGAAGAGTGGTCGTATAGGTAGACAAACATTGTGTTGGGAAGAAGGGGGTGGGAAGCTACAGGGCATGAACAATAGCATTCAGATGCAATGAACGCTTCCTTTGGTCGGCTGCGTCTAGCGAAAGGGGAAGCGCGTTGTCGCCGCAGCGCATGGGCCGCCAGACCAACACCGCGCAAGCTTTCCAATTATCCCCGCAACGCAACCTAACAGCGATGTGTAGGAGCATATCTGGAAGCATTCCCCTTAAGATTCATATGATAATCCAGGTGTAGAATTCTGCTGTTCTCGCAATCGTAGTCGCATTCGCAATGACAGTCGCAGTGGCAACGGCAGTCGCAGTCACAGCCTCAGCCTCAGCCTGCCTCAGCCTCAGCCTCAGCCAGTCTCAGCCTCAGCCTGCCTCGGCCTCAGCCTGCTTCAGCCTCAGCATCAGTCTGCCTTCAGCCTCGGCCTCAGCCTCAGCCTGCCTCAGCCTCACCCTGCATCAGCCTCAGCCTCAGCCTCAGCCTGCCTCAGCATGAGCCTGCCTCAGCCTCAGCCTCAGCCTGCCTCAGCCTCAGCCTCAGCCTGCAGCCTCAGCCTCAGCCTCTGCCTTCAGCCTCGGCCTCAGCCTCAGCCTGCCTCAGCCTCAGCCTGCATCAGCCTCAGCCTCAGCCTCAGCCTGCCTCAGCCTCAGCCTCAGCCTGCCTTCAGCCTCAGCCTCAGGCCTTCAGCCTCGGCCTCAGCCTCAGCCTGCCTCAGCCTCAGCCTGCATCAGCCTCAGCCTCAGCCTCAGCCTGCCTCAGCATCAGCCTGCCTCAGCCTCAGCCTCAGCCTGCCTCAGCCTCAGCCTCAGCCTGCTTCAGCCTCAGCCTCAGTCTGCCTTCAGCCTCGGCCTCAGCCTCAGCCTGCCTCAGCCTCAGCCTGCATCAGCCTCAGCCTCAGCCTCAGCCTGCCTCAGCCTCAGCCTCAGCCTCAGCCTCAGCCTCAGCCTCAGCCTCAGCCTTCAGCCTCAGCCTCAGTCTGCCTTCAGCCTCGGCCTCAGCCTCAGCCTCAGCCTGCCTCAGCCTCAGCCTCAGCCTCAGCCTCAGCCTGCCTCAGCCTCAGCCAGCCTCAGCCTCAGCCTCAGCCTCAGCCTCAGCCTCAGCCTCAGCCTCAGCCTTCAAGCCTCAGCCTCAGCCTCAGCCTCAGCCTCAGCCTCAGCCTGCCTCAGCCTCAGCCTCTGCCTTCAGCCTCAGCCTCAGCCTGCCTCAGCCTCAGCCTGCATCAGCCTCAGCCTCAGCCTCAGCCTCAGCATCAGCCTGCCTCAGCCTCAGCCTCAGCCTGCCTCAGCCTCAGCCTCAGCCTGCTTCAGCCTCAGCCTCAGTCTGCCTTCAGCCTCGGCCTCAGCCTCAGCCTGCCTCAGCCTCAGCCTGCATCAGCCTCAGCCTCAGCCTCAGCCTGCCTCAGCATCAGCCTGCCTCAGCCTCAGCCTCAGCCTGCCTCAGCCTCAGCCTCAGCCTCAGCCTGCTTCAGCCTCAGCCTCAGTCTGCCTTCAGCCTCGGCCTCAGCCTCAGCCTGCCTCAGCCTCAGCCTGCCTCAGCCTCAGCCTCAGCCTCAGCCTGCCTCAGCATCAGCCTGCCTCAGCCTCAGCCTCAGCCTGCCTCAGCCTCA